TTGGTGAATTCTTCTTAGAAGGTGAATAGATTTCTTCCATATTTTGTAAGCATGGCTGTTATAGTCTAGTGCTTTAAAATGCAAGACACAATACAAAATGTGTGCAATATAAGGGCCGTGCCTTACAGAGTTTACAGTTGGAAATCAGATGACATAAATAGGACAAGAATTCAAGGGCAGGAAGAAGAGATTCAGAAATGGCGTTACGTAAATTCAAATTCTGTTTTGGGTTTTTTTTTTTAAATTGTACCATCTGAAGTCCTCGTCATGCTGTCTGGAGTGACTCATAACCGTGAGTGCCTGCCTCAGGGCAGACTGTCAAAAGCAGGGTAGACACCCCAAACTGGTGGTATGTTCTATAATTAGATTCCCCCAACCCTGTAATAAATGGGAACTCCCAAAGTACCACAGCAGTCTTATAATGGAGTCACAGACAGTCCCCTTATTGAAAGTGTCTGTTTTGCTACCCAGGCAAGCCGTGCTATGTGATAAATGGTCACTTACACCAAAAATCACAAAATATTTCAGATAACACCCAGTCCCAAGAGACCCGTCACTCATCCAGGTCGATTTGCATCCTAGTCTCACACCAAAGACAATGCAGGTAGCTAATTCTGTAGTAAGCTAACTAAAGGCTGATGAGAGTTATTGAGAGGTTAAAGCAGGTACAAATATATGTACAGGTGAGTCACAGTTTATAATTTCAAATGGCCCTCAGAGATGTAGCGATCTGCCATTTTCTCAGAAGTCTTTTAGGGCTACCCAGAATAACCCTGGGGTTCTCCCTCTTCTCCTTCAGCTATTCTGCCCTATTAGAATATGAAGATGAAGAACTTTTCCTTGCGTCCATACTTATAGTTTCTGCTCACAGAAAAACAAATAGACAGTTTGGCTATCCACATGGGCTCTTTCTTTGAAGGCAGAGAGAGAGAAGTGCATTTAGCTTCTTTGATCTCTGATCACACACAATGACCACTTGTTTTGAAATGTGCGAGAATTAGTACTTTCCTTTTTCAGAGTAGCAGCCGTGTTAGTCTGTATCCGCAAAAAGAACAGGAGGACTTGTGGTACCTTAGAGACTAACACATTTATTTGAGCATAAGCTTTCGTGGGCTACAGCCCACTTCATCAGGTGCATAGAATGGACCATATAGTAAGGAGATATATATACACATACAGAGAACTTGAAAAGGTGGGAGTAGCCATACCAACTCTAAGAGGCTAATTAATTAAGATGAGCAACTATCAGCAGGAGAAAAAAATCTTTTGTAGTGATAATCAAAATGACCCATTTCTGACAGTTTGACAAGAAGGTGTGAGGATACGTAACGTGGGGAAATAGATTCAATGTGTGTAATGGCTCAGCCATTCCCTGTCTTTATTCAAGCCTAGATTGATGGTATCTAGTTTGCATATCAATTCAAGTTCAGCAGTTTCTCCTTGGAGTCTGTTCTTGAAGCTTTTCTGTTGCAAAATTGCCACCTTTAAATCTGTCACTGAATGGTTAGAGAGGTTGAAGTGTTCTCCCACTGGTTTTTGAATGTTATGATTCCTGATGTCAGGTTTGTGTCCATTTATTCTTTTGCGTAGAGACTGTCCGGTTTGGGATCTATACAATGTACATGTTGGCTATTCCATTATAACAGGATACACGTAAGTGAAAAAATGCAAGTAGCATCCCATTAGTTTTCATAAAGTTTAAATACCAAATAAAGTCATGTACATTTAAGAATGCATTTATACAATATTTATACATTTAACTTATTGGTCTGGCTTCCAGCTGCATTTGTCAGTTCTCAGCTGACTCGGCCCTGGCGGGAGCTGGCACTCAGCTTATCAGCGTCACAGTCCTAATGAATGACTATGTCCTCATGTAAAAGGGATCTGATTAGTCATTTGGGGCCAAATCCTAAAGTCCTTACTCGTCTACATGTCAGTTTTGACTAGTAAGGATTGCAACAGTTGGCCTTGATAATATTACTTTAGATTCCACTTCATTTCGGTGTAGAGTTTCCTGCCAGGCAGAAACATGAACAAGGACAGGGGAAATTGTGCACATAGAATCCAAGGACAGAATTCGGTCCATAATAAATGAACCATTCATCAGCAGCACAGCATTTTTTATAGAACGAGTGACATTGTGCCATACCTAAATGACGTAACACGTCTAAGGTTGCAGGGAGCAATATACACCAGCTCCCTTAAGATTTGAGCATTGGAGATTAGACAAAAGCAACATACACTTGTATGAACAAGGTCAGTACATGAGTTTTTCTTTTGGGGAGGGTGAATTTGAAGCTGATGGAAAGAACAACTGCTGGGTTCACTTTGGGCTGTATCCAACTCCCACTGGAGTCTGGATGAAGCATCTCCTCTCTTACAGTTTTCCTATAGTACAGGGGTTCTCAAACTTTTCCTATTGCTGAGTCCCTCTTTGAAAATATTTCAGGCTGTGATGATCTCCCAAAAAAAGTGATAGCAAATGACTGTACATCCCCATAAGTGCATACTCATGCTATTGCCAGCCTTACGGCTGCACTGCTGCTGGTGGTGGTGCTGCCTTCAGAGCAGGGTGGCTGGAGATGCGGCAGCTGCTGGCTGGGTGCCCAGCTCTGAAGGCAGTGCCACCGTATGGTACTGCCACCCTTACTTCTGCGCTGCTGCTGCTGACGGCGCTGCCTTCAGAAGTGGGCAGCCAGAGAGCAATGGATGTTGTTACCCCCCCCCACACACACACACAGCTCCCCTTTCCCCTGGTGACATTGTTATGATCTCACAACCCCCCTACAATAGGCTTGCGACCCCCTTTTGGGGCAGGACCCCCAGTTTGAGAAACACTGCTATATTAGCCAGGAAAGCTTTTTCCTATCACAGTCAGGAGTGTGTACAGAACATAATTGGTCAGATGTTTTGGGGATTAGCTATGCAAATCATCTTGGCTGCTATATAAAAAATGAAAATCTAAACGAAAATCCATCTCTTACTTTTGAACACGGGGCTGTCATGTATTACACTGGAGACAGTGGATGCCTTCATGAAATACATGAATACAGTGGTTCTTAAACTCTTTTCCGTGGTCCAGAGCTCTCCCTGATGGTGTGCGGAAAGATAACCAAATAGTGGACATCATCAGAGTGTTGGGATGGGAATGTCTGTAAGATCATCTTCTGAAGTGGTCCACAAAAGGAATGCTTGTAAAAGCATTACGCTACTAGCACACAATGAATCCTACTTTCTGATTGTGTTTCCTCTTAGTGAGGGGTTAATGTAGCCACCTTAATTACAAAGCATGCTATAATACTGAAATAAATACAGTAAAATCTTGCTGTATTACAAACAAATATTTAATAAATAGAATGAGCACAAATTCAGTGTGTCTCACAGGTAAAATTATTTTCTTGCAGTCCCTGGCTCACAAAATGCCATTTTCTTGGCAGGCAAATCCAGAGGTTTTCTTCATGATTTTTTTGATGTTGTACTGAAAGGAAAATGAAATGAGTTGAGATCAGCACTTATGCACTCATCCAAGCTGACAACACCCGGACTTGCTTTAAAGGAAAATAGTTTTTGCCAAGAATGGCTTTATCTCAGCACTTAGTATTTTGAAAACTGAAAGGAGAACTCCAAAATAACTGATAACCCTCAGCTATATATTGCTTTGAACAATGAGTGTTTCAGAGCCAGGCTTTCACCCATTGAAGTACTTGGGTGCGTTATTTGATAAAGGTTGTCTCAGCCAGAGTGACAAAGGGAAATAGGTAACATGAACCAGTTGTAGCTGACTTCAGTGATGCTTCTGGGGGAATGAGATACTACTCAGGATGAGTAAGAGAGGCGGAATCTGGACCCAAATGGGAATGGATGACAAGTCACTTGGATATTAAGGAGTCTGGTGGCACCTTAAAGACTAACAGATTTATTTGGGCATGAGCTTTCGTGAGTAAAAACCTCACTTCTTCGGATGCATCTGAAGAAGTGAGGTTTTTACTCACGAAAGCTCATGCCCAAATAAATCTGTTAGTCTTTAAGGTGCCACCAGACTCCTTGTTGTTTTTGTAGATACAGACTAACACGGCTACCCCCTGATACTTGGATATTAAAAGGTTCTTTGTTTTTCTTTTGTTTTGATATTTACAAGAGACATAAGGTCAATGTTAGGAAATGAATTTCTACCAATATAGGTATGCTAATCATCATTAAAACGACCTTCATTTGTGTTGGAAGAGAACAAAAATACATACGGTTAGTGTAGCATCAAAGAAAGCAAGCTTGGACCCAGTTCTGCAATGCACAGATTAATATGCCTGTCGTTTTATTCATTAAGCTAGTAACTAAGATAGAGGGGTTTGCAGAACTGGGTCCAGAAATGGGCTCTTTACATCATAAGAAGTCACACTAATCAGATTTCTGGATATCTGAAAATTAATAGTAAGCCCTGATTTGCATATGGCTTTTTAAGACTCCTAGTTTTCTTTATATTGTTTTGTCAATGTAGTTAATATTTTTCAGCCCAGCACAGTGGTGAAGAAAAATCTTGCGGATCTCTATCATCGCTTTGGAGAATCTGGGGTAGCCAATACCACGTTGCATGCTCATCCCAACATTTTTAAAGGCTAGAAATCTCTTAAACTGTCCTAGGGGTGAATCCAGCTCCCCTTTTAACAGGCTTTGACTAGTAACCTGTGCTGATGCTTGAATCAATTCACAGGACAATTTTTGACTGATGACAAACAGTCGATTAAGTGGAGGGGAAACATTTCTGTAAAGAACAGTCTTCGGCCAGCCTAGTCTCTATTTTCCACTTCCAGCTAATGCACAGGGTTGGGTTATTAAATCAATGAGGAAGCCAAGCCTGGGATTTGGGTTCGTTTTTGATGTAAGCAAGTCCCATTTTCCTTTTACCCCCCAGGGGCGGCTCATTAGATCGATACACCCCCTGCGACACCCGGCAGCGCCCAGATTAGAGCTGGGAGCACCCGGAACACCCCCAGGGCAGGTACCTGTTCAGGATCTTGGTGACGATCAGCTTGACCCAGGGCGCGGTGGGCTCCAGACAGACTTTCATGCCTTCCTTCGTGGTGGCTCTGCGGGGAGGCGGAGGGGAGAGCGGGGTGAGCGGGGGGTTGGCGGGGCGGGGAGGGGGGCGCAGGCTGGGGGGGGCGGGCAGCAGAGCCCCGACACTTACATGACTTCTGGCACCCCGCAGTGGGGTCCCTCGGGGATCAGCTCCACGTTGGCGATGTGCTTGGGGTGGATCACCCCCGTCTCGGTCTGCAGGCACTGGCACCGCAGCTCGCCGGCCATGGGGGCACCTGCCCGGGGAGGGGGAGAAAGACTCAGCTCCTGTCGGCGGCCAGATACTCTGCAGGGGGGCGGCCGGGGGACACCGCTCGCCCCACACCCTGGGTCCGACCCATGCCCCCGGCCCGGGCCTTCCCCGCAACCGGCCGGCTCTCGGACACCTGGGTCCCTTCCATCCCCCGGGACTCCCCGCATG